AGTGTTGAAAAAAACATAACCTCAACTCAGAATTTTATTTCCAAAAATAATTACTTTCAAAAAGAAAGACAAAGACTTTTCAAATAAATAAAAGCTGATAATTTGCCATGAGCAGAACTTCTACTATAAGAAATGCTGAAGAATTTTCTTCAGGTTGAAGAAAAATGATGGCTAAAAACTCAGATCTTCTGGAAAGACTGAAGAGCAGAAGAAAAGATAAATATGTAGATGCATTTAAAATAGTGTCCTTTTATTCTCCTTTAATTCTTTAACAGACAACTGCAGTCTTTTGTTTTTAAATTGTGTATTGACAAAGTATAGTTGTATCTATTTATGGGGTTCACAGTGATGTTATGATCTTTTGATACAATGTGTAATACTTAGGCTAATTATCACCTCAAATATTTAATATTTTGGTGAAGAGAACATTAGAACTTTACTCTTTTAGCAATATTGAAATGTACAGCACTCAGTTATTAGCTATATTCAACATGCTATGCAACTAATCTAAAAAAAAATCAGATAAGATTGTGTCCTGAGTTCTATAGTGTATGTAGATTTGACATTTATAACAATAATAGCACAGAAAATGAGAATAGATAGGTTCATGGGGTTAAGCTCTAACGTTTTAGGTCAGCTGGACAAAATATTAGCTCTAAGTACTGTGATGACTTCCCAAGATGCATATGATAATTATATGTAAATTATGAAAGACAACCCATAGAGGTGTAGCTAAAAGCCAAGAATAAGTAAATAAATAGGTCGGGCCCAGTGGCTCTCATCCGTAACCCCAGTACCTTGGGAAGCTGAGACTGGAGGATTACTTGAACCTAGGAGTTCAAGACCAGCCTGGGCAATATACTAAAACCCCATCTCTATGAGAAATATAAAAATTAGTCAGGCGTGGTAGCACCTGCCTGTAGTCCCAGCCACTCTGGAGGTTGAGGTGGGCGAATTGCTTGAGCCTGGGAGATCCATGCTGTAGTGAGCTATAATTGTGCCACTGTACTCCAGCCTGGGCAACAGAGTGAGGTCACTGTCTCAGTAAATAAATAAATAGATAAATACTTAAAATGTATTGCTAATAATAAGTAATTAACTTAAAGGGGCGAAGAAAAGAAAATGTTTCTGTGCATTTCACTGTATGTAAATTTTAACTTTAACAAAACAAGGGGAAAAAAACCAAATGAACAAAAAACAGACTTAGTGGATCCCAGAATATTGGGGGAATGGGGATGCAGAAATTTATATTTTGTAACAACCTCCCCCAACAATTGTGATGATCATCCATGTTTGAAACTGTTAACGTAGATAAATCTTGCTAACTTTCCTGTGGTTGTGAAAAACACAAAGCCTCTTACAAGGCTGTTCTCTCCTTCATATAGACACATCACTCAATTGCGAGAGCAGTGGGAACCTCAGACTTAACAGCTGAGGGAAGCTGGATATGGCCTCATGGTCTGTAAGAACTATGTCGTCAAAATAACAGCAGTTATGAAAGCCTTGGAAAGTTTAACAGCTTGCTATTTTCTTTTTTATTCTTACATACATCTTGCTAACTTTTATCTTCCCTCAATTTGTCTTTTATAGGCATCTGATGGAGAAAGAATTATCATAATCTGACACTTCCATTTTTATAGGACAAGAGACTTGCATGGGGAATATCAATGTCCTCTGTCAACTCACACATTTATGGTCTAACCACATTTGGCACTGAGGTTTTAAAGAGACAAGTCCGTGGCATATACAGTATTTCTATAAATCTAATGCTTTGAGGAAGATGGAGAATCTGTTAGAAATGTAGAGAGACCAGTGAGACCTGCAATACATCACTGGCCAACTCGTGAGAGATTTGATGTAAAACTGTTTCTTGTTCTTCTGGAAGTCGCCTTCCATTGTGTTGAGGCAAATAAGGAAACTTTCAGAAAAAAATGCAGATTTAAAATCAGGACAATAATGTATAGTGCCTAGGATGGAGATTACATTGGCAAATCTCAATGTAGATAAAAAGTGTAGAATTTATAGATTATAAATACCCATTTAATGTAATATGTAGAAAATTTTATAATCATTTTAGAAACGTTAATTGTTTTCCAGCAACCTTCTAGGCTGGTGGATAAGGTTCCATATTCTTAAGGTATATAATCTGATCAAAATCCTCTAATTTCATAATGAGTATCCCGATTTAAGGTTATTTCTACTAAATTTCTCCACATCTAACTCTCTGAGTTAGATTTTTTTTTTTCATTCATCCAATATTTATTGAGCAACTAATGTGGTTCAGGCTCTGTGCTATCCTGTGAGGATACTATCCCTAACTTCACATATCTCAGTCTAATGAGAGATGCACACAATTTAAGGGACACTTGGGAGATACTACGTTAGGTACTGTAATGGGGAAGCACAGGCACATAAAGAGGGCTGTGTAACTTTGAATGGAAGTTAAGGAAAGCTTCCTGAGAGATGTAGTCTCTTAAGGCAAGATTTAAGGAATGATTAGGATTTGGAGGGTAATGTGGGAAGAGGATGAAGTACAGAATCCTGCTTCAGGAAGAGGAACAAACGTGTTCAAAAGCCTAGAGGTGGGAAAGGGCATGGAAAATTCAGTAAACCCAATATATCTCAGTCTATTGAAACATGGAGTGAGATTGAATGAGAAGGTAAGAGAGAGGCTTGTGAGGCAAGCAGGTGCTAGATCATGGAAAATGTGTAAGTGATATTTAGGAATACGTGGTTTATTCTAGAAGCAACTTGAAGTCATAAAGTGCTTTCAAAGAGGGAATGGCATGGCTATATTTATATTATAGAAAGATAATTCTCATTGCAGTGCAGAGAATGGGTTGGAAAGGGAGTTTGGAAGCACTGGGGTCAGGACGGCAAGTGAGGATATTGCTGAATAATCTATGTAAAAGGTAATGGCAACCTAAACTGGGATGGTGATAATGGAAACAGAAGAGTGGAGATTCCTGGAACATTTAAGAGGTATAATTTCAAGACCTGGAATATAAGAGAAAGATCATTGAGATCTAAACTGAGTTATAAAGGATATGAGTATCAAGAGAATTTCATAGAAGTGGATTCAAAAGAACTGAGATTACTATGAAGTAAAAATTAATGTTTAAAGGAAGTAGCAATGCAAGAGCTGGAAGAGTGAGAATTTATACTCAAATAGTGGAACTTTCAGGTTAAGATTTCACAGGTGGAGAAATAACAGGTGATGATAAAGCCCAGGATATGGCATTGAGTCTGTAACTAAAGTGGAGTAGAGGTGAAGATTACTGGAGACAAAGCCAAGGAAATAGTAGGTGTAGTGCTGCATGAGATTTTCACATTTTTTTTTTTGTATCATAAAATGAAAATTGAGGCAGAGATGAAAACTGTGAGTGAGATCCTGAAGCTTTCGGTGAACGAGAATTACCAGGAAGTCAGTTCATGAGAGAATTAAGAAGGAATAAAAGTTTGTATAGACTAAATGACTTCTTACTAAATGAACTTGTCTCTATTACTCAGAAGAAATAGAGAAAAATTTCCTTCAGTGACCTTCTTCTGACATCTCCCAGATGGAAGCTCATTAGTAGAACAGTTCCTCTTACCCAAGTTAAATCTTTGACATCTCTTTAACTGAGTTAACCTCTGCTGATTCACCACTATATTATTCCCTTTAAATTCTAATTCTTCTGATGTTCTACTAGTGGTTTCTCCTATCCTAACATTAACAGCCCTTTGGAAATGTGGGCAAGTATGTGTGCCTGTGTGTGTGTGTGTGTGTGTGTGTGTGTGTGTGCGCGCACGTACATGCACTGGGTGGAGGTAAAGGCCATTCTATCTAGACAGTTTTGTGTACTGTTTTTGCTTCTTAGAAATAATGACCTTTGGGTCCAAAAGAGACAAAATTGGGTCATGTGCTGAGAAGTCAGCTAAATATGCAATGGACATAGACAAGCACCAAACATTGAGAAGTAAAGTTAAAGAATTGGGAAGGAGATGTTGAGTCTCCACCCTGTTTTAGATAGACTGCTATATTTGAGATTCTGGATTCTCAGGACTTCACCAGAGCCAGAATGAAATTACAGGTTTGCAGGAGTTAGTTTTTCTATTAATGGGTAGTATGGGGAAAATGAAAGTGGGATGGAGAGGCAAAACAGGATTTACAAAAACAGCAAGCATGGGAGCCTCTCATTCCAAAAATAAATGCTGTAAAATGGGAAATTCAGGGTCTTCTGACTGCCATCATTGAGAAAAAAATTATAGCTTATAATTTCTTTGCCCTTAGGGGCCCTTGTAGTTTCATTATAATGATTTTAGGAGTTAATTGTTTTCAGCTTGAGATTCATTGAGCTTTCTGAATTTAAGTACTGATGTCCCTTAACAGTTCTGGAAAAGCTTTAGCCAACTGTCTCTTCCAATGTTTCCAGTATTCTTTCTGGAACTTTGAATAGCTGCGTATTTTTTTTTCACTCTGTCATTTATTTTTCTTCCTTGTGCTTTCACATTCTGGATAATTTCCTTCCCCTGCTGATTCAATCTTTCTCTTTTCAGCTATACAAATTTGCTGTATAATCCTTTCTCTGGGTTTCTTCATTGTAAGGTTTATCTTTTCAATATCTTGAAGTTCTGTTTTTTAGAAAACTAAAGCCAGGACTAACCTAACTTAAACTTTCCCCTCAAACTTTCTGCAGACAAGAAAAATGGTGATAATTTGAACTAAAGACTCAAGAGAAAGCTTGATAAAAGCTATAAATCCTCTAAGGAGGCACCAAGTTCTGGACAGATATATTTCTTTGTGATCCTCTTCTAAAGGAGAGGATTTACTTCTCATTCACCTTTGCTCTGATGGTTTAGTGCTCTGGGGCCCAAGCTATATTAAGGCTTTAGGCTTTATCTCCTTCCTCCTTCCACCCTAGTCCTGCCATGCGATTGTAAGAAACCACTGAGAGCAAAGCTAGTTTTGTCATTTACTGCCCAGTGTTTCTGCTTTCACTTCAAAGTTGGCCTCTCTACTCCTCAATTTTGAGCCAGATCAGCTAGGCATGTAAAAATATTTTCTGATGGTATACCTGCTACTATTGTTTCAGTTGGAAGACCATTCAGGGTCTAACTTAAAAGACTTTAAAGTGAAGCAGGCAGAAGTCCACTTCTGAAAGAGAAAAGATACAATGGCTTCCTGAGAGTGATGGTAAAAGCTACTGAAAGTAATGGGAGCAGAAGGTGTTTGTACCACAGCTCCTGAATTCACACAGGATGAAGCAGAAATTTATTCTTTGACAAACATGGAGGTATGATCAGAAACTAAGACAATGGCAATAAAGAGAAGGCTGGCTTGTGTCAAGGAAGCATGATGTGTATCTCAAAGAAAGAGTGTATTTTATAATGGAGAAGAAAATGCTTCTCATCAGCAATAAGACTGAGACCTCTGCTCTGGAATATATATATGTGTGTATATATATGTATGTGTGTGTGTGTATGGTTAAATATGCATTTAACAATATAAATGCATATATATACACATACATATATATGTATATATGCATATATAGCTATATGCATGTGTGTATGTATGTGTGTGTATATATATATATTGCATTTATATGGTTAAATAAAATATCATTTTATTAAAAGTTTTAAAAGTTCCAATTATGAGAGCAAATGATAAATTTGAATGTTGTTTCTAAATTAAGTGTTTTCTATTCCTTAGGAAAGAAAGAGAACTGTCAAAGCAAAACCAAAACAAAGAAAACAGCTACAGTGGAATCTACTTATAATGGGAGGTAAAGTGGAATTACAGGAGTGCTTTATCTTTGAGGGAAAGAGAAGAGGGATAAAGTGGGTAGTTGAAATCATAAAGGAGAGAATGGGGACAATAGAATACAAATATAAAAAAAAATCCAGCCAAATTAAATGTAAAGGAGTTTAAAATTAAATGTAAAGGAGTTTATGAGCAATTTGCAAATTGCAAAGCCCCCAGAATCACAGCAGATACAGAGACAAGAAAAGTAAAGTGAGGTACACCAAAGTGAGCTACAGAAACAGTTGGATTGGTTACAGCTTAGCCTTTGCCTAAGGAACACAGTTTGAATGCTTGACAGTGTATAACGGGTTGAAATATGTCGGCTGGGATTGGCCAAGACTCAGTGATCATTATAGGGCCTACTCTTAAATTTTCAGACTTGTCTACCTATTAAGTTAGGTTGCAGTTCATCCACAAGAACTCAAATATGGAAGTATTTGAGTTCCATATTTGAGTTCCATATCCTTCTCAGGCCATATTTAGTTTGCTTTAACAGGAGATAGAAATGGCAGATAATATAATGAGCAAAAAAGAAAAAGAAAGAATAAATGTCAGATTGTATAAAAGGAAGGAGAGACTAACAGAATACACAATAAAGATGCTTGAAAAACTGAGAGATTACCTGAAGAAAAAACTAAATAGACCAAAGAAATATGTGGAGATGAGGAACAGAAAAGTAAAGAAGAAAATGAGTTCAAAGCAGAGATGAGAAATGGAAACCTTGAGAAAGGGAAAGAAGCGCAGTCAACAAGTGTGTGTCTGTGATGTCGGATTAGTTGTGTGGCTTTAGATATATGTCTTCAAGAAACATGATTTCCAGTCTTCGTGGGCACATACTGATTATTCATCCGCAGGGCACTTCAGTGTTTCTTTCTTAGTAGTATAGAACAAATTGAGTAAGAGAGGAAGAGTGACCTTCCCAGGGGCAATGAAATGAACTTTCATAAATATTTGCTTATAGTTTATTAGTTTGTATAGGATTTGACTTCTTCCTTAAAATTCCTTAAATGACTTAAAAATGAATCCCTCGAATGACATGTTATTTGAATTAATACCTAAAAGAAAAAATATATATTTTTCTTACTTTCCCATAGACTCTACAAACTGGTATTGTTTAGATTCCTATAGAGACAGGCCCTGTGAGATTTTACTCCAATTTGTGACACATAATTAAGAGAGACATTAAATTCATTTATTTGAAAGGAAATAAAATTCCTCTCTTAAAATCTGATTCTTGCATGAATACAAGGCTATGTACTTGAAAGTATTTTGAGATATACTCTAAGCTTGCAAATATGCAACAAAAAATTACTTAAAGGATTTCCCACATATATGTGTTGGTTTTGAATGATGTTAAATTCATTGAAAATGTGTGATGATGGTTCCCTCAAAACTAACTTACATTTAAGATGACAACATTAGCACATATCTAACTCCATCTATGCAGATTGCCATAAAATGACAAAGTGGTTGTTTAACAAAAATAAATACATTTTTAAAGGAAAATAAACTCTTCATCAATGCAGTTAAATATGAAATTGTGACAGTCACTCTCCACAAACGTTGGGAGATTTCTACTCCATGTAGAGCAAGTAGAAGAGGACTGAAGGAAGGGCAAACCCAGCCTGCCACCTTATACCAAGCATATCTGGGAATAAGTGGAGATCTCAATGTAACCCTTGGTGATCACCATGAGGGGAGCTGGGACCTTATCTGGTGCCCAAGACACAATGACCATGGCGCATACTGCTGACTTAATGTTTTCCAGGTTACACACACACACACACACACACACACACACACACACACATAAACACAAGCACACACACACACACACACACACACACACACAAACATGGCCCTAGCTTATATAATTTTAGGCTGTCAATCAAAACAAAGAAAATAGTATCTCCAAAGAAACAATGTGCACCACCTCCACATTTCCTCCAATCTGTTGGATCTCTTAGTTAGTCACGATTTATCCCTTTTCCGCTTCCTTTGGATCCAAAAAAATGAAGAAAGGCATCTATACCAATGCCTGATGGACTCTATTTCAAGCATAATCCTCCCTTTCTGTGGTAGCATAAACAGAAATAGAAAAATTCATTTTCAGAATTATAAAAATGCATTCCAATTCACAACAAAGAAAGTATAAATATTTTCCTCTTAAAATGAGTGTAACAAACAGGAGGAAATTTTAGAAAATGTTTTTTTCTGATTTCGTTCAATAAATATGTATAATAACTATAATTATAAGTAGTATTCAAAGTATTTTCGATATAGCAACCAAATAATATTCATTCAAAATAATCTAAGGTATCTCTCTATAGCTCCTTCCCTCTTTATGCTTAAACCCACAGGGCAGCATTGGAATCAAAGGATGTGAGTCCAAGTCTTGGCTTTTCAAATTATATCAGGTGAATCTTCTCCAAAATATTGTTTAGTACTTTAATCTTTAAAAATGAGAAAAGGTATTCTTTGTTGTTATGCATTTGGCAGTTAATGTGAAAATTTTATGCAGTGACATAAAAATGCTTATCCTGTGGAAGATTCTAAATACGTTTTACTCTTATTTTCTTCTCTTTTCTTTCTTTCCACCTTCCCTTTTCAATTACTGTTTTTTCTTCTGCAGTTCATAACTATATTATATATATACTGTATTTTCTTACACCCACCATATTCTCCATACTGAAGCCTTGTCATTTAAGTTAATCTCTGCCCAGATCTGACCAAATTCACTTACCTTCTTTCTCGTTTTCCTCTTTTGACTCTCTATTGTCTCTCACATCAAAAGCTAATATTTGGGGCTTTTTAATTTTTTTTTGGAATTGTATGTGCTATCCTGGCTTGTTTAACTCTAACTTCAGTTCCACGCTAAATTCACATAATAACTTAGAATAACTTTCTTGAGTACACTAGTAGTGTACTCAAGAAATGCCAAAGTATTGTCAGATAAATCATAGTTGTTAATAAATCATTTAGTCTGCAATGTACAGGGTGGTGGTTAATACCATGAGGTCTGGAGCCAGACCTTGGTTGAAAATACTGCTTCACCACTTCCTGGCAGTGCGACTTTGGTCAAGTTTTTTTTAACTCCTTTGGCTTCAATTTGCTTAAATTTTCTTGAAGTCTTGAGTTTTAAAGGGAATAAGGAATGTAATGCAATCAGCACAGTGCCTGGTACATAATAATAGCCAACGTTTGTGAACACTCATTAAATGTTAATTCATATTAATTTGGGGATTTTCCAATTAAGTGTGAGAGTTAAATAAAGCACAGGTGAGTGACATTACTAAGAATTGCTTTAATTACTTTTTTGTTTCTGTTTTCATCTCATTCTTTTTCATAACAACTCCTTTCTTTTATTTAAAACCTGGTAAAGTTCCTAACAAGTGTGAAAATAACTTTCATCTTTGAGATTCAGAAACTATAGTACATCTTCAAACATTTATAAACAGAGAAAAATAATTCTGTCAGTATGGCCATTTAGATTGTATTAGTCTGTTCTCACACTGCTATGAAGAAATACCTAAGACTGGGTAATTTATTAAGAAAAGAAATTGACTGACAGTTTTGCATGGCTGGGGAGGCCTCTGGAAACCTACAATCATGGCCGAAGGCATCTCTTCAAAGGATGGCAGGGAAGACAATGAGTGCCAGGAGGGGAAATGTCAGATGCTTATAAAACCATCAGATCTCATGAGAATTCCCTCACTATCATGAGAACAGCGTGGGGGGAATAGCCCCCATGATTCAGTTACCTCCCACGGGTACCTCTCATGGCACATGAGGATTATAGGACTGCAATTCAAAATGAGATTTGAGTGGGGACACAAAGCCAAACCATATCATAGATATACTTATTTAATAATTTAAATAATTAAATCTTTATAATTAAAGACAGGCCTAAAAACTATTTACTAGAATGAATTATATAACATATTGTAGATTAAGGTGACATAAAAGGTTTCTAGTACAAGAGAACCTTCTTTACTTCTAGCATTTTGAGTTTCTCTGTTTCATATTTGATCTGTTATCAACAACTGAAAAGTATTAATCTGGCAAGCATGAATTAAAACTCTTGACTTCAGTATTTCTTTAGGTAAGTCAGATTTTTCTGTGGTTTGGGTAATTTTCATTGCAAGGCTAAAGTGTTAAATTTGGCATTCTTCTTTCTAAATTCATTTTAAGTCACACATAAACATGTCATTTGCATGTTGATTAACTGCCACAATTTCCTCTGTAACAATCTCAGTTTGGAAGTGCACATAAAACACAGCTGAACGGATTTCTATTAGTTCCAAAAGCACATATGAAGTAATTGTTGCTTTTTTAAAGAAAATCTGCAGTCAATGTGCAAATTATACATTTTGTTTATATAAGCAATCTAGAATGGATGTTTTAATTATGCATTTGTTTATGTATAAAATGTGGACTTACAAATCAAGGACTATAAATATAGAAAAGATCTATCCAAATTTAAGTGCAAACTTCGTGTGATCAAATTAAACAGTTTGGCTTCAGGAAGCAGTTAGGGAGCCTACTCAGGCAATCGAACCCAGTAGCATTACCTTCTGCAAGGCAGGTGAGGGAGCTCTTCCCCACAGTATTCTAGACTAATCTTGCAGAAAAAAATCAGGTGCAAGAAGGCAGCCCAGTCAGAGAAAATAAATACCCTACAAGTTCAAGCAGCTTCTTGGCAATGCTATGTTTGGAGAACATGAGCAACATAGTTAGATCCTTTCTTGAGTTTATGAAGGTTTTCAGAAAGTCGGAGGGTATTATGTTTTGAGAGAAAAGTAAGAAAAATGAAAGCAGATAGGTAGGTAGATAGATAAATACATACATCGCCAGATAAGGCAGTATGGTGAAATAGAAAGTAAAGGATAAGAAATGGGGAAGAAAAACAGTTTATGAATGGTAGGCCAGTAATAATTCTCTTCCATTTTTCTCATGGCAAAATTGCTTCCTGGTTTCTTGAATTAAAAGGAAGAAGATTGTTATGTGAGAAATACTTCTGTCCCATGGAAATACATTTTGTTTTATTTCCATATTGAATGAAGAACATGAATTCCTTCAGTCAGAATGTCAAAGATAATGTCTTCAGAAACTAATATTTACATGTTATTAAACAAATTTTTTCCAGAATGTTTTCAGGGTTTGCATGCTGCCATTTTGCCGCATCTGCTCTGCTCCAGATGACTGGCGGATTTATTTCCTAAGTCCAGGAATGTGTCTTTTGCTGCTTCTTCCTCCTCTGCCTTTTCGGCCTCTCCCCTCCACCAGCACCGCCATCCCTCCAAGTCCACACTCTTCTTCCTGCCTTGATGCCTCTCGATTCACTTACTTGCCTTATCTTTGTTCTCCATGTGTGTCTTGGCTTTTTCTTTCATGCTATTCATAGTCTATATTTTTCTCTCTCACTTTCCCTTTTTTTCTCTTTTCCTCCTGCATTGAGAGCAATATAAAGTAGACCTTTTTTAAAAGATTGGATTTGTACGTTAATAACATTTTGTGGTTTTGTTCTAATTTAAAAATAGGGTAATTTTAATTTAAAAACAACAGTCAAACTGAGGCAGGATAAGTAAGATTTGGGGGCTGTATTAGTTCATCCTCACACAGCTATAAATAACTACCTGAGATTGGGTAATTTATGAGGAAAAGAGGTTTAATTGACTCGCAGTTCTGCAGGTTGTATGAGAAGCTTGGCTGGGAGGCCTTAGGAAACTTACCCGTCATGGCTGAAGGCGAAGGAGAAGCAAGTAGGTCTTATCATGGAGGAGCAGGAGAGAAAGAGAGTAGGGGGAAGTGCCACACACCTTTAGGCAATGAGATCTCATGAGAACTCACTCACATTACAGAACAGCAAGTGAGAAATCTGCCCCCATGACTCAGTCACCTCCCACCAAGCTCTTCCTCTTATACGTGGGGATTATAATTCGAGATGAGATTTGGTTGGGGCACAGAGCCAAACCATATCAGGGGCCATATTGACTTGCCCCCTTGTGTGGCGCCCCACAGGCCCCTCCACAACCAGCTCTACATCCCTGGCATCCTCGTGTGCATCAGCACCTCTTTTGCGAGATAAGCAATCCTACAGGATACTAGCAAACCACCAACCAGATGGTTACAATTTCCTGCTATCCAGTGTGGCCTTGGAAAGAGAACAAAAGTTTCTTATTCCTGATGGAACTTCCCCATTCTCCAACCAATCAGCACCAAAATCCCAAGAAGCTATTAGCTGCAAATTCCTACCATGGGCTGGGTGGGGTGGTGTGGGGCCGGGAAGAAAGGCAGTGGGGGGTGGCCAGGGCTTCCCTGGTGTCTTGTATGTGCAGCTAGGGTCAGGGTTTAGTTTTTAGTAACCTTTTCCTCATTTTAATAATAATTTTTTTAAAAACCTTAGGTAGAGATTTTATATGCTAATGATACACACGATTTGCATTAAGGCATGATACATGTTACAGCTGAGCTCATGCTCCAACGGCAGGTCTTCCTTTGCGTATTTGACTTCACCAGGTCATATGTTATGAAAATGTATGTACAGCTTCCATGAAAGGAATTCTTTTGAGCCACTAGCTGCCGTCTCCCTCTGAGTAACTTGCTCTGCCTCTCAGAGTGTACTTTTGTTTTGCCCTAAACTGTACTTACTCTTGCTTTAGACTTGCTCTTAACTTCTTATGTGTGGTGAATTCAAGAATCTGTACCTGCCCACTAGCAACAAAACTACAGTGAAGTAAGGATATGTATGTGTGTACATGGTGTACTTTGCGTGTTGTTAATGTTGCTTAGAATGTTCTCCTCCTTCACCAACTGGTCTCTGGTTCCTCTAGTTCATCCTTCAAAGTTCAGTTCAAATGTCCTTGAAAGTCATTTCTGCATGCTCCCCTAACTCCCAGTTTAAATTGTCCCTTTCTACTACACTCCCTTAAGTTTCTGTGCTATGCCATAGTTGTGTTTCAGACCTTGTAAACATTATCTCATTCTAACAACTCTTTAAGGATGTCTCATTACCTTTAATTTACAGATGAGAAACCATGGCTCACAGAGGCCAAGGAATTTGTCTCAAGTACTCTGGGAAAATACTCTTCTGCCTCCCGGCCTTAGTTCTTGCTGTTTCCTCTGCCCGAGATGCTCTGTCTCCAGATCTTGGCATGGTTGCCTTCTTATTTCTAGTCATCTTTCCACTCACAAGTCACCTCTTTGGAGAAGCTTGCTCTGATTCTTTAATTACCTAAAGAATCAAATTCCTTGATTACCTAAAGAATTCTTTAAGGTATAATATCTGCCTGCTTTTTTTTTTTCTTAATAGTTTTTACTTTATGAGAGTAACTTGTCTGTTTACTTGTGATGGTTAATATTGAGTACAACTTGATTGCATTGAAAGAGGCAAAGTATTAATCCTTGGTGTGTCTGTGACGGTGTTGCCAACAGAGCTTAACATTCGAGTCAGTGGACTGGGAGAGGCAGACCCACCCTCAGACTGGATGGGCACCAGGTAATCAGCTGCACGCATGGCTAGAATAAAGCAGGCAGAAGTTGGAAGGGCTTGACTTGCTGAGTCTTCCAGCCTTCATCTTTCTACTGTGATGGATGCTTCCTGCCCTCGAACATCAGACTTCAAGTTCTTTAGCTTCTGGACCAGGCGTCCCCAAACTACGGCCCGCGGGCTGCATGCAACCCCCGAGGCCATTTATCCGGCCCCCTGCTGCACTTCAGGAAGGGGCACCTCTTTCATTGGTGGTCAGTGAGAGGAGCACAGTATGTGGCGGCCCTCCAACGGTCTGAGGGACAGTGAACTGGCCCCCTGTGTAAAACGTTTGGGGACGCCTGTTCTGGACTCTTGGACTTACACCACGGTTTGCCAGGGGCTCTTGGGCCTTTGGCATAAGACTGAAAGCTGCACTGTCAGCTTCCCTGTTTTTGAGATTTTGCAACTTGGACTGGCTTCCTTGCTCCCCAGCTTGCAGATGGCCTATTATGGGACTTCACCTTGTGACTGTGTGAGCAAATATTCCTTGATAAACTCTTCTTCACATATGTATCTATCCTATTAGTTTTGTCCCTCTAGAGAAACTTGACTAATACACTTGTTGACTTACATGTTGTTCATCTATTCCACTAGTATTAAACAAGCCTAAGAGTTTAATCCTCAGCTCCTGGAAGTGTCTGGGGTTATCACAGATGCTCAGAAAGTATATAATGAATAAAGAATTGAATGAATAAATAAATAGGGAAATCTTGGACCTGGCCCTGTGACTTTTCTATTTCATGTTCTTTCCAACCCATCTTAATAGTTTGTACATCGTTTAAGATTGTTTACGCTGAAATATGCATATCCTTAAAACGTTATGCTAATACTAACTATATTATATCAGGGTTCTAGAAAAACAGAACCAATAGGCTGTGTGTATGTGTGTGTGTGTGTGTGTGTGTGTGTGTGTGTAGAAAGAGAGAGAAATTTACTTTGACTAATTGACTCACTAAATTACAGAGACTGGCATGTTCAAAACCTGTAGGGGGTGGCCAACAGGCAGGAGATCTAGAGAATACCTGGTATGGTGGTTGAAATCTAAAGGCAATTTGCTGGCAGAATCCCCTCTTGCTGGGAAAGGTCAATCTTTTGTTCTATTTAGACCTTCAACTGATTGGATAAGGCCCACCACAGGTGGTAATCTGCTTTGATCAAAGTCCACCGATTTAAATATCAGTCTCATCCAAAAAACCCTCACAGAAAGAGAGCTTATATCCTTAAATAACCAAACTACATTTTTTTCACCTTAATGAAGTAATGAAATAATTTAAATCAATAGGCATTTGAAAATTTAGAAATTTAAGTATTGATTAATTGGCTATGACACACAGGGTTCTGCTTGATGCTGGCCTTAAATAGGTGAATGAAATAGACAGATTTCCTATATTCATAGAGCTTCTTATTTGATGATAAGTAAACATATTCATATTATCATATATGATTTTCTTGTGTAACATCAAAAGACACAACCTCAATTTTCTCCATGCAATGTCACTGTTACAAATTTATGGAATTGGTTTTCATTTCTCTTCCTCCTGTAAGTCTGTCCTTAGCCTTCTTGCCCTTTCCTAACAGTTACATCTGCAAAGAGCACTGTTGTGTTTACGAGAACCTCAATATTATTGCTGGTTAACTTGAAGGAGTGACTGTTAGGCTTACGGCTTCAGTTCTTTATTTATAAAATGAGTGTAATGCTTTCTACATCGTCACAATGAGATGGGAATGCAATCACCAGAAAGATATAAGGTTTTAATGGCAAATGGTTAGGAAACTTGGAGAAGCAGAAAAAACAAAGAACAACACATAAAACCGGAGTTAACAGTGAGATTCCAGAGGCAGTTGTGACTTCTCATATGACCTCAGCACTGCAGTGAAGTTATGTAGGTTCAGATGATACTGCCTAAACGGAGCAGGAACACCATTAGGTAGGAGAAGCTTCCTTTGTCTTTCTCAAGTTTTTTGTTGTTGTTGTTGCTCTTATTTTTTAATATATCCTCATGGTATCAGCTAGGCTGTTCCGGAGATTCTGGCTACATGCCTGCTTCCTCACTAGGTGCAAATAACTACTGCAAAACAAAATTAGCACCTTCTCCAGTGTTTACATGGAGGTGGGATGGGGCGAGGGTCCATTACTCATGATCAGGCTTCAGCAGGCCTGGGCTTCAAGCTCTGCGAGTACTCCTAAAAACAACTAGCTCACAAAGATAATATGGAAATGTTGGAAACACCTAGCACATAACATGCACTCAATCAATTAAAAACTGGAATGTTATGACATGTATCATTTTGTCTATAACTCTGTAGGTATATTGCTGTATTACTAGATTGACTTGAAATGATAATATTCTACAAGTTGATTTCTTTTCATTACCAAAGTCACTTGTAACAGCAAGTTACTATTATTGTCATTCTATATGTTATTATTCAGTGCATTATTCAGCATGCTATACCCAGAACATATTCAGAATTTTTATATTTCTAACTTCTTGTGCATTGACTATTCATAAGTTCCTGGGAAAAAAGGGGGACACTATTCCCCTTTGCATGTAACTAATACTGGTGAATACAGAATATTTTACTTATTATATTGCTTAGGAACAACAGTGTAATGTACATACTTAAAGGTGATTCAAATATTTAATTGGTTTTAGTAGGAAGGAGCTTTTCCTTGATTCTTTTCATGTTAAGAGTAGCAAATTATACTATCTCTGAATAGAAATTGTGCATTTTAAAAAGCCATTCCATTCCATTATGTCACATATAAAAACATGCAAAACTTGTGACTGTTTTTTTGTGTATACTTATTTGTACTTTCCACAGTCTCAATGTAAAACCACTTTATATTCAACCCCAATACTCTTACCATATGCAGAAACTGTTAACAGGACAGCTGTTTATTGGTCAAATTAAGAGATGATTAAATAAAGTATAAAAGCAAATCTGATCATGTCATGTCTCTCAAACAGCATGACACCCCCACAAACAGAAACACACATGCAGAAACATGCCCCTTAAATGCTTCATTGACTGGATTTCTCTCTCAGGGTAGAGGCAGAACTCTGTATCATGCCTCTGAGGCCCTTTAGGACGTGGATCCCCTGTGTCTTCAGCCCCATTCATGCCACAGAGCCTTGGCACTCTCTGTGTTAGCCACAATGACCTCTTTCAGCCCCTCAACTGAGCACACCCTTTCCTGCCACCATGCCTTAGGACATGGATGTTTCCTCTGCCCAGAATAACCTTTCCCCTCCCTGCTTAGTAGTTAACAGCTAAGGGTTCTTTAGAACTTCTTTATAGAAGTTGTTTTCAATTTCTGGTTTAGTTAAAGTACTCCAATCATAGATTCTAAGCATCGCATATCTCTTCTTCAAATTTGTGCCCACTGCAATTTCACATGTGTTTATATGAACTCTTAATTACTATGCCTGCCTCCCCATCCTCATTAAACCATGTGGGCTCCACAGGATGTAGCCCTCATTGGTTTCGGCTCATCGTTGCATTCCCCAGTGCCTAGCACTGTGCCTTGCAGTAGTAGAAGTTGACAAATATTTATATCAAAAAATGAAAAATGGGTATGAGCTGTGTGTGAATGAAATTATTGGAATGTTGACCAGGTTTTCACAATATATATTTGTGCAGTTGAACTATCAGAAGACATAATACATGGTTTAATTTATCTGTTTGAAATATGGACATCAAAAGATTTTTGTGAATGAAGCGCTAATAGTTTCTACCCTTGCTTTGAATTCTTTAGGGCAGCTGCTAATTTGCCAAATGCCTTTGATGAAAATGTTTGCATTTTCTTGTATTTTTATTTGTTTTCTTGTCATCCTTAGGGAGCAGAATGCCTGTTTGACTCACCCTGACAGATCAGCTTTGGCAGGTCTGCTGTTGCAGAAAATTCTCCACCCCAGAGGTTTTATCTCTCCTGCAGGGAAGGCTCATGAGCAAATGCTGTCATTAGCAACCATGCACTGTTGAAGACATATAGTGAGAAAATATGTCATGCATTGTTTCCATGTACCAATTTTAGTATAAAATCATGAAGAATTTTCAAGATATTAACTACAAGTTAAAACAATTTTTAACCTAAATCCTGAGAATTTCCCTTGGCATTTTGATTTTCTTTTTGTCTTTCTTGCCCATCTCTTAAAAATTAAATCATTTTGTTTTTCTGAGAAAGATGCTTTTATCTGAGGATTTTCTAAGCTGTACTGTTAGATTTCACTTACTTTTTTATATAGTCTATTTCATACCTATTGGTTTAACATCATAAAAAAAAAATCTTTCCTAGAGCAAGGACAATATGCATATCAAGCTTCCTTATAGAAAAGCTCTATTTTTATATATATGCAAGCATACCTCACTGTTTTTTGCATAACAGATAAGCAGGTAAATATTTGCTAAATTAATAAATGCTTAAAATAGTTATATGTATGTATACTTTTATCCCCACAAAGCATTCTGGGAAATAGTAGCACTTTACTTAATTTGGTGACGACATTGTGTTGTTGTTGTTCTTTAAAATTTTCTAAAGCCATAAACAAGAGTAATAATTCTAGGCTCTGCATGGGGCCACAAACCTGGGTGAATGCATAGACTTGATCAAAAAAGGAATTCCCTATAAAAATAGCAGTGCCTAGAATAATAGTCAGGATTAAAGGCTGATTTATTATGGAAACTTCTAAGATAATTGTTTCACACTGTTTTCTTTCAGGTTTTAATTTGAAGGGTTATCTATGTACTGTTGATTGTAAAAGAAATATTTGGCAGGAAAGGGTTTGAAATTCAAGTATAAGAGGTGGTAGGAAAGGGCCCATAGGATCATTAACATTTGGGCTTGTAAATAAATAGTTTATGTTTGGAATAATCTTACCTAACTTCATTAGCATCTGTTATTTGGTTACAGAATTTAAAAACAGGCTGTGCGCTTTTTAATTTTTTAATTTTCACACCTATAATCTCAGCACTTTGGGAGGCTGAGGTGGGCAGATCACAAGGTCAAGAGATGGAGACCATACTGGCTAACATGGTGAAACCCCATCTCTACTAAAAAAAAAAAAAAAAAAAAAAAAAAATTAGCTGAGTGTGGTGGCACACGCTTGTAGTACCAGCTACTCAGGAGGCTGAGGCAGGAGAATCACTTGAACCCCTGAGGCAGAGGTTGCAGTGAGCCAAGATTGTGCCACTGTACTCCGCTTGGCGACTGAACAAGACTCCATCTCAAATAACAAACAATTAAAAAGCAGTGAACGTAAAGAATCATTAAAAATTTAATCTATACCTTAAATATCTTATTTTAATCTAAAATATATAAATGTTCATTTATTCACAAAGCTTTTGGGATGAGGCCAACAACATGAGTTCTGTTTCCTGAGTGAAGGTCCTTACCTTCTTTCTTGCATAAACCACACACCCATAACATATCATTTACATTTCTAGTTTGAGTTTCACTCAAGTTAATAACTTAATATTTAATAAAGCAATCTAAAAGCATAAGCATTTTTAACTTTTTATTATAACATTTTATGATTTTCTTACATCTAACTTAACATTTTAAAAATCAAATCTTTCTGAAACATTTAAAGAAATGACTATTTTCATAATGAAATCTCATCACTTTTTATATAATGTTAATCAATTTGCATAATTATTATGACAAGTACAAGTGACTTTCACAAAGAAACAGATAACTGATTTTGACTTTGGTAAGTAACATCACTCAAGGAGAGGGTTGGAAGCAGAAATGCCTGAGTCTTCTATGGAGAAGCCTGTCAGTGCCTGGGCAGCCCCTTGGCAATCCATGTGTTATGGGTGGAAAGAAGAGCATTAATTAATCCAATAGTTTGATTAATTCTAACTGAACGGTATTCTTTTAAAACTTACATGTGCTTTATTTTAAGAATAACATATTTATTATAGGTATTTGAAAATAAAACACGTATATACACATACACACAATGCACCACCTGGAAAAATCACTATAAATATTTTCAACCATTTCTCCAATCATTCTAAGTCCATAATGCTCTCTCATGCAAGGACCACTTACAACACAATAGTTTTTAAACATAGTCCATGTTTTTAGCTAATACTGCATATATCACATAAAAATAGGATAATATGCACTTATAATGAGTTATTCTTGTTATAACTCATGAACATTAGTCCAGTGTTGGACCTATAGCTAGAGTTTCCAGATCTTCTTCTGTTGCATAAATCCTCTGTCCAAAAGAGAGATTTTTAAGAAATAAATAATGTAAAAGACATGAATCACTCATATGGAAATAATGTGAATGTGAAAAATATTTATTATGTTTTGGATGATAATATTTTTTAAAGTGCCTTAGCCATTTTCAAATGAAGATAGGTGAGTAAAAAAATAGAGAGAGAGATGTCCCCAACCCTTCCAGGTAATTAATGAAAGAATTAAGATGAGAAACCAGGCCTTTTCTTAATATTGTAATATTTATGGGTACCTGATTAAAATATAGACATTATGATTTAAGTGAACAGTATGCTCTAATGGTCTGAGGAGATGTTTTCTTTCCAAATGTATTTCTTTGATTAAAATAGCAGGTCTAACATTCTTTAAGTATATTTCCCAGTAACAATTTAAAATTATAGAAATTTCTGAATAAGTAATTATGGGACAGCAATAAATGACCTCAAAAAACAAAGCTCTGGATTGCTTTTGCAAAATGGCACATGAATAAAAAGAATTTCAGAACTTGTTAGAAATGAAAATGTCTTATGACATGTTGCCCCAAAGCCCTCCATAAAATGTTGAAGCTTAATTTTAGATTATACAACTTAAAGTTAAGAACTGCCTTGGCTCAGTTTGCTTTTTCAGGCAGCCAGCACAGTGCCACATGAAGATGGCACATAATAGGCACTTTTTGATTGACTGTCTCCAATTACTTTGCTTTCTTTAATGTGATCTCCAAGTCTTTCTTAAATACTGGACTTGTTTCATTTCTCTTCATCTCAAGCCTTAAGAGGAGAAATGCATTCTCCTCCCACCTTCCATTTTGTGCTAGGGTCAGATAAAACTGTTTTACAGATCCCCTCAGTTTGTGTATGGCCCTAAAGGACATTGAAGGAAAAGGAAGCAGAAACAATTCAGTTTCCCATAGCAGCATCACAGAAGGACTGTCCTTCAAACTGATCTCTGATAGTTTATTGGGTAGAGGTGTGAAAGTTATATGACTTGGTTCCTCTCTTTTATAGGGCTAGAGAGGAAATATTTTTATGTACTAAAACCTCTATGGATTCTGGACACACTACAGAACTGTACACAGTTAAAAATCCAAAATCTAGAATAGCTAATGATTTTTAGGCAAAACTCTAATATTGTTTAGGGTTCTACCTGTAGTCATTCTATTAGGTTTAGCATGTTGATCATAAGCCTTCACAGTAATAATATGTACACCTTTTCATAAAAATTAGGGAATTTGAGTAGATAAAAGTGTAATAAGGTTTCTGGGTGAGGAGTGAGTATTTGTATTGACAGATTTTATTGCAAGCAACTGTAGAGCAACTTAACCTTAGTGACAAAGCACCAGAGTATCTTATGGATTCCAAAAACAGTGGCAGCGGATTTCAAGCACAGAACTATGTTCTGGAGCTGGGTGCTTTCTTTTTCTGAGTCTCCTTTATTTGTCTTACAGGTTACAAGTTGCTTTTCTATGTGCCTTTATCTTCATTGGAAACATATCTACCAATAGCTCCCATGTCATGTGTAAACTGAAGCTACTCTGTGCACCATCTTTCTGCTTTTGTCCCAGTTGGGGAGTTCCAGGTATGGGACTAATTGCTCAAGCTCTGATCAATTTGACAGAGCCAGGACTAGGACAATAAACTGTTGGAGTAGTTGTACCTCCCAGAAAAGTGAGTGTGCCTGGGGGCTGAGTGGAGTTAGTCATGGTAGTGGTAAAATGAAAAAGGGGTCCTTGTGAGTTCTTTACAATTTTCAAGAGACTAAAATCAATTCAACAACAGTAAGTTACTGAGCAACACCTAAATGTCACTATGCCCTTTGATTTTACATCCATTACCTTTTCAATCATTACAATCTTGTGTGCCAATGAAGTGAACACTTGTAACTTTTTCTGTTCAGAACCACTTCTCATACTTGGAAATGTTCTCACCATTCCTGCTTCTGTGAACTCAATTCTCTGTGTAATATAACTGTTCAGTGTCTATGGAAGCTGTCCACTTTCAGGTTGCACATTCCCTCTGACCACATTTAAAAGTTCAGGTATGCTCCTCCGACCATGTCACTTTCCTGCCTAGGATACTGAAACTAAAAAAAAAAGAGAACTCAAACTATTTTTCCATGTTACAATTGATTGTTAATGCATAAACGAAAAAGGTGTTGGCAAACATATTTCATCATATACTTAAGATGGAAAGGAAGCTGGAATGCAGTGAGAAAGAAATAAAAAATAATAATAAGCTGAGTGGTAGACAGAAGCCAAGACAAGGGATGGATTTTGGTTCCGATTCATTTCCTGTACCTCCATTCACCTCCTGTACTCCTGCAGGGCATTCTGTAGGGCTTCCTTGCTGGTGGTACCAGTGGGAGCAGTCTCTGGTTGAAATTCATTAGCTCATTAAGTCCACGTTTACCTTCATTGCCTTTCTGACCTGTCTCTCCCATTTCTACTTTCAGTTCTATTACAAGCCACACTGTACTCCTGTCACTTTTGTAAGTCTCTGATGTTGAATTTCAGCTTTGTCCTGGTTTCATTTGTGTATCCAGCTCTCCCCTTCCCTCTTGTCCCCTGTATTCACTTGCAGATATCAGTTTAAAACTTTCTTCTTCAAAAACATCTACTCTGTCCACCCAGCTTATGTAAGATACTTCTTTATGTCTTCATAGCACTTAGTATTTCCCCTATTCTAAGAGCTAACTTTGCCATGGTACCTTCTAATTAAATGTATATTTACATAATTAAATTGCCTATTACCACATAAGCACCTTGTGGATTTGAGCCATAAACTACTTTGCCCACCATTGTACATCTAGCTCATCTAGCACAATATCTGGCACAGGGGAGGTAGGCAATAAGTATTGTGGAATAAATGAAGAGATTAATA